CAGTGGCCAGAGAACATGGTGGGGGATTAGTGAGGGGCATCCCAGCAAGTTAGAGTTTACCTGAAGCTGCCAGAGGGAAGATGGGTGGAATTACCGGAAGCTACAATCACAGTTGGCAAAGAACTACACATACAATCCAAAATGAAAGGAAGAGATGAGAAGAAAGGAAAGAAAAATAAGGTTTCTGGCTGAGAGTCTTAGAAGCCAGATACCATCAGGTGTATAGAATGGGTTGAGGAAGTACAACACTTGTGCTATCACCTAGTGAGTATGTATTAGTGGCACACAGTACAGCTCAGAGCAGGTGTGGTTCTCACTAAATGAGAGGTCACAGTGTTGGGCTCTTGTGAATGGAGACATAAGAGGTCAATCAATACTCGCTGATTAACTGAGAGTTATTAACCTCTTCTTAAGGAGGTTATGTCAATCTTGGACATTTCCAAATTGTCCACAGTCACGTTACACAGTTTGGTCAACCCCTGGCTAAGGGTTAGAAAAATGATTTAATATTGCCCTTAAAAAGCTATAAATTAAAGTTCAGAAAAATGTCCTCATTTAGTCTTGGGGTCCACATTATCCTTTAACTCAGAGCCTATGTTTAACATTCATTGCCATTGATTTCACACCAGATGTGACCAGATCCTGGACAAATTAGAGGTAGGAAATAGCTCTCCTCCTCTGAAGAGGAAAGAATAGGCCAACTAGACATCACTGTACACGAGCCCAGAAGCCATGTGCTTCGATTGTCATCAGGCATCTCTGAAGGCAGCCTGACTGATTTACTTCTAAAAAAAAAATCACACACACACACACACACGCACGCACACACACACACAACATTCCTCACTGTTATCAGAAAGGCAGTAACTGATATATAAATATAACCAAAAAGCATGTGAACCTATCAACTGTTGCTTCCAGAAAAAAAGAACACACACAAATTAAGGAAATGGACGGCACTCCATTTATTATAAGCATAGACTCTGATATGGAAACCTCTCTCTAAACTAAATCAAAGTGTTGACAACTTTTAAGACCCATGGAAATGCACACAGGATTCTCATTCTTGGATCTCTCCCCAGAACACTCCACGACACCCCCTCAACAGTGTAACAGGCACTTAACTTTTACTGAGCGCGGCCTGACTGGAGCTTGTAGCTCTGCAAAGTACGTCTCATGTCCGCAGAAGAAAACTATAGGGATTATTAGTAACTACTGACATTTCTACATCTAGGGGGAAAAGTTCCTTACTACTTTTTTTACTACTTGATTTATTGCTGCGGCTTTGGGTAACTATCTAGTTATTTTAACATCATCTGTATCCAGTTAACTCTAAAATGGTTCGCACAAAGCCAAGTTCCCTTCAGGCTACTTAACTTCATAATCTTCCACGGTCCTAAATGTATTAAACCTAATGGAAAATGCATGCCACAGGGGAACCCCGTGAGAGACTAAGGATAAAAACTTATGGGGGAAGAGGGATCCATCAAAGTACATGACAAGGAAGAAGTAACAGAACCACATGCTTTTTTAAAAGCACATTTTCTTATGGACATTATTAGTGTTAGTATTGATATATTGATCATTTGTATTACTATTAATTAGTATTACTAAAAATAATTTCTATTAATACTTCAGAACCATAACAACAGTAATGCCAAAACATACTTCAAGTATGGCACATCTCTATCAAGATTTGTTACATAAAACGCAATACTTAGGTAAGTATTTTGCAGGCCAGCAGATTCTACTATAGAAGGTAAGTGATCATTGAAACAGGTGAAGTCAACCTCTAAACTCCTACTCTCACCTATTGACTTAGCTTCTGTTTATTAGTAGTCTAAGATTTTTCTTTACTATCAACTCGCTCATAAATTTAAGCCAAATGATTGCTTCTATATAATATAGCTTCTTTCTATAAGGTGAGAAAAAAATAAGCATGCATGAAATATGAAAACATTTCATGTAATCTTGTTAACTTAAATAGATAATACTCCTCCAGTAATAAATTACAACCCTAACTTGTTTCGATTGAATCTACTTCAAGTACTTCCTCACAATTAGAAAACTTGCTTTTTCAAAATATTCAGTCTTCTCTTTTTGGCTGCTTTCCCTTGTAGCTAAAGGCCTGTGAAATGATATGATCTGGTCACTTCATAAAGAAAAGTGAGGAAAAACACTATCTCCTACTTCTGGGGCATTTATTTTGTTCTTTTCAAAACACCTCCACTTTCAAGTTCTTATTGATGACATTGCCTTTGCTTCTGCATGGATTTGTGTTCATTACAGTTAAACATCTGACCTCACCATTCCTCTTAACAAGCACAACTACACTAGGTATCTGTTCTATTTTCTTTCAAAACTAAGAAGTAATCAACAGAGGTGTAACATATTGACTTCAATTTATGGTACCGCTTCTTGATAAACATTTGTTGAATAAATAAATGAACCTGGATGGCCACTCTAGTGCTTCCCAACCTTTTCCATGTGTATAAGAATATTGGAGTAAGTAAATAAACACCAGGTGGCCAGAAGCTACCAGCTAAGGACTCTGGCATCCTGAACTTAGGCAACTACCAGGCTACCTGAGGGCCGAGAGGTGGGAGAATAATGTTAGCACACTTGCAACTCGGTTATAGCAGTTCAGTGTCCTCAAAATGCTAACTATGAAATTCTTCTCCAAATTTTTTTCCTACTTTACATACTCGTACTTTTTTTTTTAACCAGGAAACTATTTTTCCTTTGAAGACTCATCCCTCCCTCATTCCTCAGAATCCTGGTGGCATAGATGAGGTCAGGACCCTGACACCTCACTTGCCTCCATTCTACCAAGGATAACCAATTCAAAGCCCTGTCCTGCCATGATGGTTGATCCAGGGTGAGCACATGGCCCAGGCAAAGCCAATCCACACTCTCTACAACTCTCTTCCTTTTAGGTTGGAAATTTTAGGTTAAAAAGCTTTGGCCTTCCAACTAAGTCACAGAGGAAGGAAAGAAATTGTGCAATGAATACACTATCTGGGCCACGGCTGTCCTAAATTCTAGAGCAAATAAAAACAGTTTAGATACAAGATGCTACTTGCACCCAAAGTATCTCTCTAGAATTTCAAAGACTCAATGAATTTCCTGAGTATCAACACATATGTATTGTATGCAATACATGTTTCCTATCAGTGGCACACACAGATCAGGTAACCTACTGTCTGACTTCTTTAGGTATCTCCAGACATTATCTGGGTGATACCTATTCTGAAGAGATTATCCTACAAAGTGTCAACACTGAAAGCAAACATTTGGTAGAAGCAAGATCATTAGGGAAGGTGAAGGGAGAAATAAAGTAGGAAGGAAGTTGAAATGAGTCCACCATACAAACACCATGAGGCAAAGGTCCTTTTAGTACATTACAGACCCATTTGCAGAATCAGACCCAAGGAAAAGCCTTTGTGCGAGAGCAGCAGTTATTTTTTTTTTAAATCTTTAAATTCTTTATTAGTTAAGGAATTACAAATGTGTCCTCATTCCCCCCCATTAATCCCCATCCTCGCCCCTGCCCCCCCCCAGCAGTTATTTTCTTAACAAAAAGGAATGAGCATGGGGACAAAAAGGAATTCCAAACACACTAACTTCACATCTTAAATAAACATTTATCCCCCTACACCAGCCGTGGGCAAACTACGGCCAGCGGGCCAGATCTGGCCCGTTTGAAATGAATAAAACTAAAAAAAAAAAAAAAAAGACTGTACCCTTTTATCTAATGATGATTACTTTGAATTTATATTAGTTCACACAAACACTCCATCCATGCTTTTGTTCCGGCCCTCCGGTCCAGTTTAAGAACCCATTGTGGCCCTCAAGTCAAAAAGTTTGCCCACCCCTGCCCTACACCATCACATTTTTTTTCCTATAGGAACACAATTTTCCTTAAAGAGATGGACTTTTTCCTCACCATGCTTAAGAAGAAATACAAGCACAGATGCCAATAAATAGAAAATAATAAAAATACCACACCTACTTGGTTAGAAAACCCCTCAGAGGAAATGAATTCTACAGATCCTATCCAATGGGGGGGAAAATATTACAGAGTACTATGTTAAATATATTGCTCATTTAGCTGCTATAAAAAAAGAAGGAACTTTTACCAGTTGCAACAGCATGGATGGACCTGGAGAGCATTATGCTAAGTGAAGTAAGCCAGTCAGAGAAAGATAAATATCACATGATCTCACTCATTTGCTGAATATAATGAACAACATAAACTGATGAACAAAAATAGATCCAGAGACAGAAAAGCACTGAACGAACTGTCAAACCTCAGAGGGAAGACAGGGGAGGGCGGAGGGGGGAGTGTGTGTGTGTGTGTAAGAGATCAACCAAAGGACTTGTATGCACGCATATTAGCATAACTAATGAACACAGACACTGGGGTGGTGGGGGCTTGTTCTGGGGGGTGGGAGTGGCTGGGGAGGTGTCGATGGGGGGGAAAAGGAGATATATGTAATACTTTAAACAATAAATTTTAAAAAAAGGTGGGGTTTTAGTAATGTCTGACTACTTTCTTATTACACTCCAATTCCGTGCAGATAGCAAGAATGACTATCTTCACATCCCAGAATGTTGATCAATGTCATATGGCAAGGAACCAATACTTTCTAGTTTATTAATTTACTGAATAAAGATAGGATCAAATTGCAACATTAAAAAGTAGTTAATGCCTATCAGATAGGCACCTTTAAACTCAATTATTTTGCATCTATCTTAAAAGATCAATATTAGAATGAAAGGGTATGCATCTTAAATAGGCTGCAAGAGTTAACAAAAGAGCTTCAAATTAGCAAATCCACCAATAAACAAAAATGCCAAAATAGCATCATGGAAGATTTCCTTGCAAAGTATGCTTTCATTAAAGAAACATTTGCATACATAACTCAGAATAAGGAGAGGAAATAACAGATTGGGATGATAAGGACAGGAAATAAAAGAGAAAGAAAGCCTTTCTTTACCTGACAGGAATCTGCTTGGGCTAATTCTGTGGTGACCTTCAGTATTTGGCGAAGATTTTGTCCTTTATCTTCAACAAGGAGGTGAACCAGCAGCAGCAGAACATGCACGGGGATCGTTGTAGTCATAGGGAGCAAGGACTCTACTGAAGCCAGCCAGTCACTCGCTGCAGACTCGTCTCGCAGTACTTCAAGGATCCTCCAGGTTGTAAATATTGAAGCATATGTGCTAGAAATGGGGAGCGCGAGCTTAGAGGGCAGCTGAAAAATAAAAGCAGAAAAAGGTATGAAGAAAATGAGGTAAATATATTGGTCAGAAATATATTTCCTGACATGCATTTATGTTTTATATTTCATAATAAGAAACCAATCCTTCCAACAAAATGCGTACAGAATTTTCAATGCTTTCTGCAAACTCTGCACACGGAGCTAATGGAATTACACAAGGAGAAAACAGTTGTTATAAGAAACTCTGGAACAGTTTGCACTACTTTTCCTCTTATTTACTATTTGTTCCCAGTTAAGGCAGAAAAAAACAAAAAGGATCAATAAATAAGACCCAGAGGCAACACCGTTTGGAAAAGCCATTATCACTAAGAAAGTATTCACCAACGAGAGGAAAGATACAAAAAAAACCACACAAATGAAAAACATTGCATTTGCCCAGCTTCAGACCCTGGTAAGAGGCAGCCTGGCCTACGGGGACCAGGCTGAAACCGGCTCTCCAACACCCCCAAGGAGTCCCAGATTGTGAGAGGGCAGTTTTCGGGTGACACACACTGGAATCGGGCTCCGTCCTCTCTGGTTTGGGATATGTCACCTAAGAACTGCAACTGCCAAGTCACTGCAGCTCAGCAGCTCCTGTGTTGAGCATCTGCTTGCTCCCTGGTGGTCAGTGCACATCATAGCTACCGGTTGGAGCGTCTGCCCCCTGGTAGTCATTGCACGTCATAGCTACCAGCCGGTTGGCTGGTTGCTTAGGCTTTTATATATATAGATATGTACACACACACACACACACACACAATTTTATTAATTTCAGAGAGGAAGAGAGAGGGAGAGAGAGAGAGAAACATCAATGATGAGAATTACTGATTGGCTGCCTCCTGAAAGCCCCCTCCTGGGGATTGAGCCCACAACCCAGGCATTTACCCTTGACTGGAATTGAACCTGGGACCCTTCAGTCTGCAGGCCGACATGCTATCCACTGAGCCAAACCGGCTAGGGCACTACCAATTACATTTTTTAAGGGTGGAGTGGGATACCACATATTTGTATTTGCTTGTATATGCAAAGGTAAGTAACTACACAAATAAAAAGGCAATTAATATACAGCAATTTTCATTTTCTATTTGCAAGAGTGGAAACTGGACAACTTAGAATCAGGGCGAGAAAGAGACTACACATTGTACACCATTTTATAACTTTAAATTATTGTTATGTATTATAATTTATTAAAATTATAATTTAAAAAATTAAATATCTAAGTTTATTATAGCTCTCTTTCCAAATACACCTTTCCCCCCCAAAATGCAATTCATTAGAGATTACAATCCATTTCTTTAGACTAAGAACACAGCATTGGGCATGAGATTTGAAAGACGAGGACTCAGCACAGCCATGGCAACAACTGGCTGTTACACAATCTCTGAGACTTGCTTTTTGTATTTGTAAAACGGAAGTTATGACTACCTTCCTGTCAAGATTACTGAGGTAGGTAATAATACAATATGAATTAAGCACCTAGCACAGGATCTAAAGTTGCAAAATACAGGAAATATTATCACTGTCATCTTTAGGAGAGAAAAATACAACTGGTAGATAGGAGTATAAAAGAAAATAATTGGAAATCACCAGAAACAATAAGTCAAAAGCAGCAACATCGCACAGACATGTAACAGTCAACATAATGAACAGAAAAGCAATCCTACTTTACTTGAACTATTATGTCCAGCTTAGGCTCTGGGTTTTGCTGGTTTGTTTGCAGGAGAAGGGCACGGTGTTGAATAAGATATCACAGGACAATCTCTCTGGCCCAGTGAGGGACGGGTGTGGTTCCCTGGCACAATCCCAAGGCGAGGACGCAACAAAGGTTTTCTCTCAGTACCAGCCACCAAATCCTGGCCCCCCAGCCTATGCAAGGACCTGAAAATGTGCTATCGGGCTGTGTTTTAGAGGAGAAAGTGGTTGTTTGAAAATAGAAGGTTTATTTTCAAATGAATTAAATCTCTATAAATGAATTATATCTCTATAAAAAATAAAACCATATCAAAAATAACTGCATTTCAATAAATATTAAATGGTAATAAAGCACCCTTTACAGATATAAAAGAATTGGGAAGCTTTACTTTAACAAAGCTTTTAATAAAAATGTTTAGGTGTGTTAAATATTTAACAATAAGACAGACATCTATAGCAGTACTTTTTTGTCTAAAATTGTAAAGACAGGAGAAAAATAAATATTTCCATTAACTTTAAAGAATAATACTCATCTATCACAGTAATTAAACAGGCTTAACGAAGGTAGAGCCAAGAGCCTGGCCAGTGTGTTCAATGGTTAGAGCATGGCATTGCCCTTCACTTCCATTCACCAGAACTGGGCTACTGAGAACTCCTTAAGTTCTAAATCAAACACTAGGTCAGAGTCACCAGTCTAAAATGAACTGAAATAAAAACAACAGAGGTCTTTCTACAAAGGTCTTTCTGTAATAAATCAAGATGGTGAAATGATCTATCAGAGTACACATTCCTCATTGAACAGAAATTTCCTGACTGTGATTACTGAAAACAAAAGTAATAATTTCAACCACCTGTTATTTAAACAGAAGGAAGCACAAAGACTCTTGTTTTATTAATTACTAAAAAGCTTCTCATTACAACAGGTCTACTATGCCGATGAAACAAAATATGGTCTTGATATTATTCTGCAATATAAAAGAAAGAAATCCTGTCATTGGCAACAACTTGGATGGACTTTGAGGGCATTATGCTAAGTGAAATAAGTCAGACAGAAAAAGACTGATACCATATGACTTCACTTACATCTGCAATCTAAAAAACAAAATGAATTAATAGCTACATAGAACAGATTGGTGGTTGCTAGAGGCAGGGAACGGGATGAGAGGGAGACAAAATAGGAAAAGTGAATCAAAAGGTACAAATTTATGGTTATAAAATAAATAAGTCCTGGAATGTAATGTAAAACATGGTGACTATAGTTAATAATACTGTGTTGTATAATTAAAAGTAGAGTAGGTCTCAAAAGTTCTCATCTCACACACACACACAAAAATTGTAATTGTGTGTGATGATGGATGTTAACTAGACTCATTGTAGTGATCATTTTTCAATATATACATACCAGTGTCCCGGTGTACAGATTTGTGCACATTGAAAGGAAATTAGAATAAATATTTTAATATCGCTATTCACCCTCTCTCTATAATAGAAGTGTCAATCAAATTCACAATTGACAATGACATCAAAACACACATGTGCGATTGGTGCCAGCAAGAGCTTTATATGTATCATACATGCACAAGTCAACTTAGCCTTTTATAGATATAGAATAAACTTGCTTAATTAGACCTGCTTTCTGATTTAGCTAAACCTTTTCCAGCCCAGTGAAGTAACCCAACTTCTCTTTCAGATAATTGTCAGCAACAAAGCAGAAAATATCAACACAAAGCAGATTATTATTGTAGATCATGCAGGGAGAACAAAGGGTGAAATATTTAACTGCAGCAATGTTTGACTATATTCTGTGCAGTGAGAAAACCTGAAGTCATTTTCAAGGTCCACCATTTCTTACTTCTTTTCAGTTGGGTCAAGTTTCTAAACTTTCTATATCTCTGTTTTCCGGCTAATGAAAAGAAAATAGGATTCTACCGAGTCTCCTATGTACCTACTCCAGGGCTTCTGTGAGGCACAAATTAAATGAGGCATGTGAAAACACTTCACAAACATTTGGTTAAACTGTAAAATGTTTGCAGCAAGTTGGGTTCCTGGGCTGGAGAAACTGCAAGGAAGCTAGCTGCTAGGGAGAGGAAACTGGGTATTGCTGTGACGTCATTACCTGGACAGTCAGACACTTAGCATATCAGCCTTTTATACATATATAGATGGCCAGTGCGCATCATGGCAGCTCCTGCATTGAGTGTCTGCCCCCTGGTGGTCAGTGCACATCATAGCTACTGGTTGGACAGACACTTAGCCTTTTTTATATATAGATATCAAACTATAATATCGTACACCCGAACTAATATAATGCTATATGTGACAAACAATGGCTCAGATATAAAGAATGCAAAGATAAACTAGGATGTTATCTGTGGCTTTAAGTATGTGCAAAGTAGAAAAGTATTTAACAACTGGCTAAATATTTTTAATTTTCTCCTCTATGGTCAGCTAAAAAAGATAAAGCAGAAACAGGGTGGGAAAAATACAAAAATTTCAACAATTGTTGCAATTTAAATATTAACATGTTTAGAAAATAAAAAAAGCATGAACAGGGCCAAGATTCCTTCCCTCAGTGAGCTCATAGCATAGAGCATTAGAGGTACAAATATGCAATCCCTAAACTAAGCATAACATCCTATATAATCAAAGCCTAATATGCTAAGTGTCCTGTCCTCCAGTCGTTCATTCAACCAATCAAAGCGTCATATGCTAATGATATGCTAAGGCCGCTCAACCACTCACTATGACTTGCACCGACCACCAGGGGGCAGACAGTCAACTGGTTGACCAGTCTCTATCATGTGCACTGACCACCAGGGGGCAGTTGCTCCAACCAGTAGGTTAGCTTGCTGCTGGGGTCTGGCCGATTGAGACTGAGCTAGATGGACTGGCTGTGCCCTGGAACTCTCCCCTGGTCCCTCCCTGGCTGGCCAACCTCCCATGTCCCTCCCGGCCCCGATCGTGAACTGGTGGGGTCCCTTGCCCTGGCCTGCACCCTCTCGTAATCTGGGACCCCTCAGGGGATGTCGGAGAGCCAGTTTCAGCTTGATCCCGCTGGTGCATGAATTTGTGCACTGGTCCTCTGGTTATTGAGTAAAATGCTAGGGACGCAAAGAAGAGTAATGAATTCTGACTCAGGGAGGCTGAGAACTTTTAGCTGGGTCTTGAAGAATGAATAGGTCAGGCAAAGAAGACAAAAAGCAAAGATACTGGAAAAAAAACTTGGAGAATTGGGGCATGTTAAATTTATAGGTATGTGTGGAATATAGAGTCCAAGACAGGTGCAGAAGGAAAGCCAAAAATAAACTGTGGTTTAAATTTTTAAAAAGGGTGATCATTCCTGGCCGGGTGGCTCAGTTGGTTAGAGCACTGTCCTGTGGACCAAAAAGGATGCAAGTTCAATTCCTGGTCAGAAAACATACTGAGGTTGCAGGTTCGATTCCCCGATCAGGGTGTGTACGAAAGGCAAATGATTGATATTTCTCTCTCCCTTTCTCTCTCTAAATATCAACTTTAAAAACACATCCTCACATGGGGACTAAAGGAAAAGGGGAGTGATCATATATCTACTCAAAGCAGCATACTATCATCAGGAGGTTTTTATAGCCCTCAAAGTATTCCTTCCTCCTCCCTCTCACCCAGCTGCTGAAGAGAAAGCCTCACTATTCGTGTGGATAAATAAGATTCACACACCTGAGCAAATAGTAAGCTGAGTACTTAAGTCGTAGAGTCCTCAGTAAATATCACTTATGATTTAAAGGAACAGAACTTTTAAACATAGTACTTCCTGCCCTGCCCCTAATCCCATGCAGAATCCAATCATTGTTCTGCATGGGTAAGTCAAGGGGGAAGGTAAAAAGCTACTAGAAATGTTCAGCCACATTTTGTACTCCTATCAGGGCAGATGCAAGAACTTCCTTCTCGTAATGCAAATCTGTTACATATATCAAGTTTTAAAGTTTTAGTCAAACAAATAGGATTTAGGGAGCTGCAGGATACATTCAATTTGCCTACAGGCTAGTTTCTGCTGCATGCTCAGAGAGTAAACAATGCCTGGATGTTTGCTGCTGGAACATTTAACACTACATGATTAGAGGGATCCACTTTTGCAGATGAAACAACTATGGCACTAGCTTGCATTTATGTAATACCTCTCTGTGGAGACTTAAGATGCTTCACCAGTTTTATCTTATTGTAGCCTCATTCAATCTCCATAAGAGTAGTACTTGGGAAGTAAGTTTCACTGAAGGCAAAACTGAAATAGCAAAAGAGAGAAGGTCTGGCAAATACAGGCCTAGGACCCAGCCACTATCCAGACATTCACAATATACTAATGTAAAAAGCAACAGGAACAGTGAGACTGAGTGAGTATGCCTAGCAGGCAGAAAGAGGAATGGAGTGTGACGGGCCTGCCATCTTCCAGGCGAAGGCAGCAGAGTAGGGGCGCACAGAAGACACCAAACCCAGGATGCCAGGGAAAGGGGCCTAAGATGCCATATTCAAAATGAAATCTTCCTTACAGATCTCAGAGCTTCAGGCATTTGAGACTTCCCACCTTGAACTGTCCCAGATCCAACAATGTGCTGCACTTATTAAACAGTGTGACAACTCAGTCCATGCCCAAGTAAGGGGGAGAAGCCCTTGGTGAAACAGAACTAGTGCCTTCTCTGCAGGATCCCTCAGGACCTTTACTACTAATGTACCTGGAAACTCGAAGAGAAAAAGGATTCTACAGCACTTCCAAAACTTATTTCACAACAGGACTACTTCCTCTCTCCCTGCCCAGAACAATATACTAACATCTACACAACTGCCCAACAATATGGTAAAGTTCACAGAGTCTAAGCCCACACATACACTCATCAGGAGGTGAGATTACCTGCAGAGACATAAACCCCACTTTACCACTTTTATTTAAGGGAGACAAGGATGGACTTCATTACCTGTTGGTGGTCGTCTCTGTAGCACCCTTGCTGTACCGTTTCTAAAAGCTTCAGAGCCAACTGCTGCCTCGAGGGACCGTCTTCATCCGTGGATATGCAGTCTTCCAAGGCCGTAGAAGAAAGTATCTGCAGAACTGGCATGACTAGCAGCAAGGAGGACTTTGGGATTTTCTGACCGTCAGCAAAAGAGAGGAGCTTCAAAGCTATTCATCAAAACAACAATTCATGTTTTTACAAACTAATACCACAGTGAAACAAAATGCTATCTTGTTTAAGGGGGATATGCAAGAACTTTCCTTACAACTGGTCACACATATAACAAAGATAATAAATCTTATCTTTTTAGAAATAAAAGGAAATTAAATAGTATCCAAAACAAGTTATTTCTGTATATAACTGAAAACCTGATGAAACTCTTAGAAAAAAAATACATATCATATGTCAGAAAGTATAAATCAACTTTTTTCGGTCAATACAAATTTCTTTATAATATAATTCAACTTTTGTCCTTGTTCTGTCAGACCCTTCTACTGCCTTCAGTGGAGAGCAATGCGCTTCCCTTACAAGCCCAGCTGAGCACTGTATGCGAGATTAGTAAGTAAACAAGGTGAAGCTGGGCAAGCTTTCCATTTTAATTGCTGAGAAGCAGATCAGGAAAGTTTCAAAGTCCATAACCAGCATAACAGTCAAACCCAGTTTTACAAATGATTTTTTTTCTAACATGGACACTCAATTTACACATCAGAACCACACATGCAAATGTACACTGACTATGTCACATGTAGAGTATCTCCTAGACCCGTGGTCGGCAAACTGCGGCTCGTGAGCCACATGCGGCTCTTTGGCCCCTTGAGTGTGGCTCTTCCACAAAATACCACGTGCGGGCGCGCACGTACAGTGCGATTGAAACTTCGTGGCCCATGCGCAGAAGTCGGTTTTCGGCCTGGGTGAGTCTATTTTGAAGAAGTACTGTTGATATTTGGCTCTGTTGACTAATGAGTTTGCCGATTACTGTCCTAGACTATTAACAGAACAAGTTAAGGCTTAAATGTACTTATTTCATGGTTACTGAATGAACCCTTATTTATGATGTTATTCATAGGCTTCTGAGCTATATTATCAAAGCAATAAACTGATATCCCCACTATACCAAAGACAAAAAATTTTATAAGCCTCACGTCAGTGAGTTGCCAGTATTTCATTACTAAATCACTTGGAAGTCAAACCTGAACATAGTATGAAGTATAAATACCTGTTTCTCTAACACTATTAATTTACATTTTTTGTCTAAATATTAGTATTATTGTCTGAGATATCATGAAAACTCATTATCTTTGACAAAGCATGAAATGCATATAATACGAATATTTATATACTCTATCATAAATCTTCCAGGCAATTTTATAACTTGCTATTTACAATCAAGGCTAGGGTTAATATTTAAGAAGCATAATATTATATTAATGCTCTGCATTTTTCAAATGTGAAATAACCAATATACCTTTGGTTATTCTATTTTTTTGAATGCTTGTTCCCAATAATAGTAAACAATAGTTCTTCCTTATTTTTCAAAAGGCATGCTGGCTCAGTAGTTTTCAATATGATTTCAATCTATTAAGGTAACTTCAAATCAGAGACACTGGTTTAAAAAAACAAAAAGTCTGCTATCCATCAAATAATGAAAGTATTGGGGTGTTTGATCCTACAGCATCCTATTATACATGAACCACAACAAGAGTGTACCTTCAGAATTTAAAAAGTGAGTTCTCTACAGCTTCGGAATTTCTTTTTGTCAAAAAACAAAATTCATTTATATGAAACTAGAGGCCCAGCGTGCATTTGAAATTGCGCGAGGTGCCGCCCCGCCTCCCGCTGTGCAAGGAGGCACTCCGCGGGGGGCCGGGACTCGCACTGGACTCATCGCAGTGTCCCCCCGGCCCCCCTGCCTATGTCGCTCCGGGGCCGCCCAAGCTGCCGCACCGTCTCAGGCAGGCCCCCCTGCCTCTGTCTCCGTCTCTGCTCCAGGCCTCACCTGCACGCGCAACCTCCTCCTGTCTGGTCGTGACTCGTTATGGAGTCCCGCCCTAATTTGCATATTACC